ACCTACTTGAAGAAAAACATTTAAATTCTATCAAGAAGATAAAAGACAATTTGAGTAAATCAAAATAAATATCTTCCTTTTGGATAGAAAGATAAATATCCAAATGATGGAAATTCTTATTGAACTAAGTGACTAATTTAGTGTCATTCCAATTAAAAATACAATTAATTAGTGTAAATGACAAGAATAACCAGAAAAATTCTGAAGTGAAAAGACCAGCCCTGCTCAATAACAGAATATATCTTTAATGCCTGCAATAATAAAACTGCTAGATAGTAACTCATGATTGCATGTACAGAGCAAAGTCCAGAAATAGATTCTGATAGGATAAGGAACAGGGCACTGTACATAACCGAGATGGCCTTTCAAAGTAAGAAAGATGATGGTCAGTTGTTCAGTTAACATTGTTGGGCAACCAGCTCACCTGTACACTGAAATAAATCCTACATAGGCTGTGAACTAAGGGACATAAATTAAAACCACAAAAGCAGGAAACATGAGGGGATTTTTTAAATTTTTAAATTTTCTAAAACTAAAAAGTATACATTGTTAGTGCAGGGAACTCTTATTTTTCAATATATAAAGATTTAAAAGAAAATCAGTAAGAAAAAGACAAAAATGTGGTTATCTATAACTACAAAGTTTCACCTATCATTTTAGAAACATATTTTTAAACATTTTTACTTAGTTTTATTGAGTTGTAATTTACTTTTTTTGGGTCTTTTTGAGACAAGGTCTCACTGTGTGCTCAGGCTGGCCTTGAGCACTTTGTAGCTCAGGCTGGTCTTGAACTTGCAACAACCCACCCACCTCAGCCTCCTGAGTGCTGGGATTACAGGAGTGTGCCATCACTCTTGGCTACAATTTATGTTTTAAAATTCACCATTTTAAGTCTGAAGTTTGATGAGTTCAGTTAGGACACTACAGTTAGGACATAGAATGCTTCCATCACCCAGAAAAGTTCCCTCTTATCCTTTGTAGTCAATCCCTGTTTCACCTGTGACATCTGAGAACCACTGATATCCTTTTGGTTACTAAGACTTTGTCTTTTCCACATCAGGAGACAGGGCCTTACCTGACCTCAGCTTTCATCGCTACAAGTATCAGTAGTTTATTCCTTTTATTGCTATATAGTATTCCATTGCATGGACATACCACAACGTGTTTATCCACTCACCAATTGATGAATACTTGGATTGTTTCCAATTTAGGAGCCATTATGAATAAACAAGTTTGCATGGGAATGTGTTTTCATTTCTCTTGGGTGAATATCTAAAGGGTGGAATTTCTAAATCATGTATAAATATGTTTCATTATAAAGAAACTGCCAGACTATTTTTCCAAAGTAGGTGTATCATTTTGTATTCCTACTGTGTTAATTAGCTTTCCATCATGATGGCAACACTTGAGATAATCAATTTATAAAGAAAACAGGATTAGTTTGGCCCATAGATTGATTGTCCCCACTGCCTTTGTGCCTATATTAGGATAGCATATCATGGCAGGGAAAATGGTTGAACAAAGTCATTCACTGCATGATCAGGGAGCAAAAAAGAGAGAAGATAAGTGGGCATGGTGGCACACACCTTTAATTCCAGCACTCTGGGAGTCTGAGGCAGGAGGATTCCAAGTACAAGCCCAACCAGAGCAACTTACTTGATTTAGTGAGACCCTATCTCAAAATAAACACAAAAAGGTCTGGGGATGTAGCTCAGTGCAAAGGCCCTGCATTTAACCTCCAGAGCCACAAAGAAAAGAGGAGGTGGAACCCAGTGCTCTCCTTAAGAGCAAATACCCGGTGACCTGGGACGGCCCTTGAGGCCCTACCTGTTGACACCCCTCCCCACAGCTCCTTCCTCTCCGATTCTCTGCTTCACAAATCCTGGCCACTCTGGCTCTCCTGAGCTCAGACCTCTGCCTCCTGTGTTCTGTGGAGCTGCTGCGTCCTGTCTGGGTTCTGCATCCCTGCAGCGATGCCCAGAAATTGTTTTGGACCAAGAAGCTGGGACAGTCTTACGAGGTACCTCATTTGTTTCTCTTCTCTTCACAGTCTTGTGCTGCTTTTTATTTGATGCTTGAAATTAGTTTCTTAAAAAATTTTTTTTGTTCTTTCCAACATTCTTTTCAATGTTCAATATTCACCATAAGAAGCTATTTCCCATGACAATGTATGCTTTGTGGATCAAAGTGGAGCACTTTTTTTATTTTCAGGTTTTTGTTTTGTTTTGTTTGGAGATGGAGTCTCATTATGCAGTTCAGGCTGGCCTTGAACTCACTTTGTAGCACAGGCTGATCTCAAACTCACAACAATCCTCCTGCCTCAGCCTCCTGAGTGCTGGGATTAGAGGCATGTGCCACCACGCCCAGCTATTTTCAGTTTTTAAAATCCTGAGAAAAAGCTTTGGCCCAGCTTATGTCTGGTGATTGTCCATGAGGCAATCTAGGAAATGAAGACATGCAAGAAAAATCACGATCGCTAAGGTCGGAATGTATGAAATGTATTACCCAGTATGAAATGGAGCTGTTCTTCAGAGGAAGGAGACAAAAACAGAAGAGGCCTGGACTGTAACAGTTGTCATGGAAAAGACCTCCAGGCCAGCCAACTGATAGGGCTGTGAGAACCCCATTGTCTACAAGGCTGAGTTCATCCCTCCACAGTGTTCCCAGCCTCAAGGACAACCAGGGGGGTCCAGGATGGAGAGATTCACATGTATAACAGTTTCACTGACAGAGATAGCAGTAAAAAGCAACTTTCTCTTCTCCCTCTTCTTTTCCCTTCCCCGCCCATCCATCAATCCTGTTGTGTGGAACAAGTCCTTTGCCACCTCTGAGTGAAACCTAGAGTTGGTCCTAGTAGTATTTTAGCCCATCCTTCTAGACCTCCAAACATTTTAACCCCTTGGATTTCAGTAACTAGAATCCAATTCTGGCCAGGTATGGTGGTGCAAAACTGTAATTCTATCGAATTGGGAGGCTGAGGCAGGAAGATCACAATTTCAAGACCAGCCTGGCAACTTAGAGACTAAAATAAAGTGTAAAAGGGGGCTGCCAAGTATGTAACTCACTGGTAGAGCCCTCGCTTAGCATGCATGAGACCATGGGTTCAAGCCACAGAACAATGACAACAGTAATAATCTATAAAGTCTAGTTCTGTGCAATAGTCAAACCTGAGAATTTACAGGTAAAACTTAGCCTGCCTGTATGAGGCATGCCTCAGGAGGGACGTGGCACAGGGCCATTTATGCTTTGTCCCTTGCGGACCTTTCTGAACAACCAGGCAGCCACCCCCCTCTCCCCGCCCACCAGATGGCTAAATGTTTTCTGACCTCTCCAGGAACATAGTGGAAGCCATGGGGGAGTGGCAGGAGGTCTCAGGCCCCTCTTGCTCCCTGCAATCCTGACCTGGCTTCAGGGTTCTCTCTGCCGGGTGAATATTCCAAGACTTCCCTGCCAGCCTTGTTTTAGCTATGTTACTGTAAGCAGGGAGAGCCTGGAGAGAATCTGATGGGTTTTGTTTTGCTCACCATTCCCTGGGGATAGCACATCACATGCAGAGCCACTCAGGGGACCCACAAGGCAGATGGAGAGAGGATTTGGGGCAAGCATCAGCACTGTGGTTTCTGAGGGAAGAAAGGGATGAAGTCATGGAAGTGAGTCTGACTCGCAAATAAAGAGGTCTTAGAAATGTATTCTCCAAGACTTCCTGTTCCTTTTTGATATTTAGGAACACCTGTACTGTAGCTAAAATGCTCCATCAAAGTGGAGCTGTCAAGGCCTCTCCCTTAGGCCGCAGGCTCTTTAGATTTAAATAAGGGAACCTGTATGTTTTAACCTTTTGAGGAAAAATGTAACATTAGCTCAGGGAGGAAAGAATGATGACAAGGGGGGGGGGGGAGACTGGGCCTTCCTATGCAGTTCAGGCTGGCTTTGAACGCACTACCAGCCAAGGACGTTCTTGCATGCTCAGTGATCCTCCTGCCTCAGCTTCCCTAGCGCTGGTAGGATTATGGGCACATGCCATGGCGCCCAGCTGGTTTTCTTGTTAGTGCAGTATTTTATGACCGTCCAGCATGCATTGTGCAGAAGTGTGTTGTCAAAGAAGTTTGGGTGCTGAGAATTTTAAGCGCTGTGTAAGCACAGAGAAAACAAAGGCTTTCCAAGGTGGCAGAGGGGAGGGCTGTGCGGGAGAACACTTCAAGGGGAGCAAAGCTGAGTCCTTGGCTGGGGTGCACACTTTAAGGAGCCCCTAACATTCAGTCATCCGGATAAATACTAGTTAATCTGCTATTTTAAGAATACATCACAATGTTTGGCTGTACAAATATCCCATCGTCTTAGGCCCAGTATGGGGCAGCGGGGCACCTATGCAACAGGGGCTTCCAGCCCCGGCAGTTGAGTCAGGCCTGCAGGTGCAGGGCAGGAGGTGAGGTGTGGAGCATACTCAGGGGAGAGGAAAAGGCACAAAGTCCAAGATGCCCACATAGAGGAGGGCTGGAGGGATATGTGGGGAATGGGGTGCCGATGGGGTCGTAGGCAGAGACCAGACCGTGGAGAGGGCCTCCAAGGTTGTCAGTAGGGAGACGCCTGCCCCGCTTTCTTACACAGCCATGCTGGCTGAGGGGCGGACTGCAGAGGTCAGGTCTGGAGACAGGTAAGTCCCTCCGAGGCTAGCACATTATTTAAGTGAAGGTCGACAGCATACACTAAGGTCCAGACCTGGGTTTCCCCGCTGTCACATCCAGGGTGGGGCGCCACCCAGGTCACCGCCTGAACAACCGTGGCCCAGCAGGGTTCCGTTCCAAGGGCCAGGTCAGCAGCGAGCGCGGAGCACGCGCCCGGATTCCGGCGGGGGCCAGGGACGAGCCGGGCGGGGCGGGTCCCGCGGCCGCCCTGAGCCGCTCGCCGCCCAATCGCCGCGGGCCCGCCGGGCCCCGGGGGGCTGGGGCGCCGGAGCGAGCGCGACTGCGCCGACGCACGAGCGCGGGGCCGGGCGGCGGGCGCGCTCAGTCTGGCGGCGGCGGCCGTGCGCGGACGGACGTGCCCGGAGCCCGCACCGCCCGCACCGAGCCGCGCCGCCCGCCCCGGCCGCGCCCGCCCGCCCGCCCGCGCGCCATGGTGTCATGGATCATCTCCAGGCTGGTGGTGTAAGTGGCCTCGTCCCCGGGCCCCTCGGTCCCCTCTCCCCCCCGGCAGGGGCTGCGCGCCCCTCAGCGCCCTGCTCTGCGCTGGGCTATTAATACCCGGCGGCGGCGCTAAATTTAGCAGGTACAGTAGCCGCGGAGGACGCCGGCGGCGGGGCGCGGGGCGCGCGGCTGCCGGCCTGGGGCGTCGCGGGCGCGGGCGGCAGCTGGCGGTGACCCGGCCGGGGCGCGGGGGGCCCCGCGAGGGCTGGGGCGCACGGGGACCCAGCTGGGGGCTGCGCCTCGCCGCGCCCCGGCCGCTTTGTTCCCGGGTGGGACGGACCTGCCCAGGCCCCACGGGGCGCGCCGCGGGGACACGCGTCAGGCTCCTTGGGGAGAAGCGCTGGGGTCGCCCGTCGCCGCGCCGTGCCACCTCCCCTTTGTCAGGTGAAAACCACAGCCGAGCTCGGGGCGCTGCCTGGAGGGGTCAGCTCCCAGACTCGTGGAGGGAGCAATGGAGGCGGGGCTCCCGGTGGGGGTGGGCCACGAATACTCCTTTTTAGGTGTCTTAAATCTGCAGCGGCTGAGGCAGGTGGGGCAGAGGACGAGTGTGAACCTCGGGGTGGACACCTGGGGCCGCCAGGTCTGATTCCTTTTGAGGGGTTTGAGAGACCGGGCAGGTATCTCTGGGAATGCACGGGAAACGTCCAAGTGACAGACCCTGGGGCGGTGGCGGTGACATCTCCCGACCTGTGCAGGAGAGCAAAGTCATCCGGGGTGAGGCCCGTGGGAAGTCCTTGGGGATGGGCGCGGGGGACTTTTTTTGTCTTCCTTCCCAGCCTCACCCACCTGGATCAGGACAGACTTGCCACCGGCTGGGGAGGGCAGGGCTGAAATGGTCTGGGAGGCCGCGGTGAGGGGCACGTGCCTCGGCTTTTTCTTTGTCTGAGAAAGAGGGGCTGTGGACTCACTCCCGCGGATGGTGCGGCACCACTCCCCACGTTTTGACACATCGCTCTTCTCCTTCCCTTCTTTATGGGTTGTCTGAGAGCAGTCAGCATTGTCTCCAAGCCACCATTCTGGGCTTTCCTCCCAAAGCCTGTGTCTGTGCCTGTCAGCCCTGAGTCATTCCATGAAGTCCCCCTACCCCCAGCTGTTGCCAACTGCTGGGGGTTCGCACTGTACCTTGAGGTGACATCTTAAATATTTAGAAGACGCCTGCTGGCCAAGCTGGCAGGAGGCGTACAGGGAGCACTGCCACGCCCTGCCACGCCTCACACCTGACCAAAGACTGCCTTTTTTCAGGGTGGTATTTTCTCTCCTCAGTAGCTCTGTAATCTTTGAATTTGCCAGTGGCCTCTGGAGGTCTCTAAAGGTGGGCAGGAGAGGTCAGTTGTCCTGCCTGGTAGATTTTTCTCTATATAGGTTCTACTGGGCTGGGAGCAAGGCCTTCTGGTCCAGGATCATATGATCATCCTCAGTTCAATTAGCACCCCCTTTCTGTAGGAGATGTTGAAGGGTACAAGGGTGGAGGCATGTTTGAGAGGGATTTCAGCCACTTGCTGTTACTTTTTTATTTTTTATTTTTTTGTCTTTTGAAGACAGAGATTCACTATGCAGTCAGACTGGCCTTGAACTCACTTTGTAGCCCAAGCTGCCCTCAGAACTCAGGGTAAACCTCCTGTCTCAGCCTCTTGAGTGCTGGGATTACAGGTATACACCCCCATGCTCAGCCTCTGTTACTTCTGAAACAACCACACTGTAGAATACAGACTTCAGAGAATGCACATAAGAATTACCCTTGTGAGGCTGGGTGAGGTGGTACAAGCCTGTGATGCCAGTACTCAGAGGCTGAGGTAGGAGGATCACAGTGAGGTTGAGGCCAGGCTGGGCTACATAGTAAGTTCAAGGCTGAGGCCAGCCTGCACTATATAGTGAGACCCTGTTTCAACACAAACAACAATAACAACAAAAAAGAATTACCCTTCTGGTCAACCCAACACCCTCTGGCCTAAGGGAATGTTGGTGGGACTTGGGGTTGTTAGGTCCACTGTTCACTCCCAAAGGTCAAGAGTACCACCTATCCATCTAGTCCCAATTTGCTATAGAAACCTGGCACAGTTATGAATTTTTTTTTTGTCTTTTTCCTTTTTATCAGTACCGGGGATCGAACTCATGAGTGCCTGCTTGCAAGGCAGGCGCTTATGCCGCTGAGCTAAACCTCCAGCCCTCAGTTATGAATTATTAACATGGCTCTTAACAAGCAGTGCCTACTTCATATAAACAATGCCTGTTCATTTTAGGATACTTAGAGAATATAAATACAGATAGTCCTCATTTAACAACTCATCTGTTAAACAATTGTTAGGACTTATGACCCACATTTAGCCTTGTACCCCTAGGAACAAGAGTGGCAGTGTGGCCCTACACTGGCTTCGTCTACAGTTCAGCACTGTTATTTTTGCTGATTGTACTGTGCAGTATGGTACGATAGTTTTATGTTCTGTTATATATTACGGTACTACAGGTAAGAATTATGCAAATAAAAGCAAAGTCATGAAGTTAGAATTTCCTTTGATCCTTTCTTCCTTCTGAATATTATAATGTACATACAATGTGCTCATTTAGTAACCAATTCGCTTAACAACTAGTCCTAGGAAAGTGACTTTCATTAAATGAAGAATGTCTGTAGTCAGACTGGAAATCATCCCCATTATCAGCACACAGAGATACTTAGTTAATGATAATTTTGAGGGCTGTATTTTTTCAGGAAGTTTTCTTTTATGCATATATGCACATATATCAATCTTTACAATTCAGGGATATTATTGATTCAAAATTTAACCTAGTACCCAGGAATCCTCAGATCAGAGGACTATTTTGTGGAGGGGGGGATTATTGTGTTTGCAGTCAGAAAACCCTTGGTTCACATCCTCTATCTGCCTCTTGCCCATAGATCCCAGTTCATAACTGGGGTCACAAAGGATCTTGGTTCGCCTGCTAACTAACTTGGTGTTGGCTGTTGTGAAGATTTCAGTGACACAGAATGTGGGAATTACCAAGCACTGTGGAGGGCACTGTCACTGAAGACTCCTTTTTGTGCCCCCCGGGTACAATGCAGGAGGACATAAGCACTTAGGAAAGGGATCTCAGAGCTAATCTGCTCTCGTAGTTTTCCAAGAGGGTTCCCAGAGGGCCAGTAACCTGAGTGTGTGGGTTGTAGACTCCCAGCTATGTGTCACCATGGATGGCTTGTAGTTTGTTTTATATATTGAGTTCTAGATAAAATATAATTTGACAAATATGAGTTTTATTGCTAATAAAAACCACTGATCTAGTCACACCCTCCCATGTGTAAAACTGCAGAGAGCGTTTGCCTGGCCCAAGGACACCTATGAGCTGGCAAAGAAGTCTCTGGACTTCTCGTCCAATGTTCTTTCTACCTGTGAGACCGCTGACAGTTTATACTGCATCGACATCTCTCAGACTCCCAAGCCCTCCAGTATGAGAGCACCCTAGGATTTTGTCCATAGGTCCTGTTTCCTGTTAGCAACCCTTTCAAGCTCTTGTAAGCTTCTGGCACATCAAAGAATGTTTAAGGAAGACCTATTGCTGTGTTCTGAGGATGGGCAGGGAGTGTCTTCCTGTCTTTGTGGCCCCAGACATCCAAGCAGAGGCATTAGGGCAAGCTGCTGGCACCAGGGACAGCCAGCCAATGCTTGCAGGTGTTTCTGCTGCGACTGCTGTGTTTTTAGGGCAGCAGTGTGGCTTGATTGTTCCCCATCCCCTTGCTCCCTCCCAAGATTTTTTTTTAAAGCTACCTGCTACCTAAGTCCACTCAGTAAAAGTTGGTTACAGAGAAGATCAGAAACCCTCGGGTTGAGCAGAGAAACTGGCCAGTATTGCACCCTAGGGATAGCGATCTCTGGGGACCCCGACAGGCTTGGTAAAACTCAGAGATCCTCCTTACTTGCCAGCCAACCTCCTCCTAACTCTCTTGGCTCAGCCTGTGAAAAAGTAAGAGAGCATAGTAGCAAAGTAGACTTTGTTGGATGGAACCTAATTAATATCGGCACAGGGCACAAGGGCTCATTTAGGAACTGCCTTCTTGCCTCTTTTAAAATCTTTTTTTTTTCTGTACAAGTAAGTTAAAGCCTATGCATACATGAATTTCATCCTGGGGAGAATTTGTTTGTGTGCACTCCGAGGGAAGGGGGACACAGAGGTTTTCTATGACTTCTTGGGAGAAGAGGCCACTTATTTCAAGGAACAAGTGTTACCTCATTGTCGCCGAGCTGTTTTTGGCCCAGGTCCAGGGTGCTGTGTGAATGGATTCAGAGCTTCCCAAGCTTCAGTTCACTGTGAGGGAAAAAGAGAGTCTTAATTCAGTATAATTTTCTGGATAACTCCAAGGAAAAAAATAATTTCCACATGGCATGTCTTTTAAAAAGATGCTTCTGAGCACATGCGCATGGTGACAATGGCAAGTGAGTCTTAGTGGCGTGGCTGAGGATCTGGCTCTATCCCTGGAATGGGATTTGGAGCATGACGTCTCACCATCCTGGGTCAGGGACGTAAAAGTGGAGGAGACTGGAAGGAATGTGGATTGTCCTCAAGATGTTCCCTGACTCTTGCAAAACAAATGCAAAAAAAAAAAAAAAAAAAAACACCAAATGGAGAGACCATAAATCCTTAAACATAAGCTTGCCCTTCTTTGGGGCCTGCAGTGGAACTGGAGAAAACGACCCAGTTAATAGAGGGTTCAGGTAAGGTGAGGATTTATTTCCTAGCGCTGCAGCGTGTTACACTGTGAGAGCCACAGTCGAAGAGAATCATGAGAAGAAAGATGTTGCGGGGGAGGGGAGGGAGCAAGTGTGCTTGGATTCTAGTTCCAACACTGTTTTCCCACTGGCAGAGTCTGGGGCAACTCATGCTCCCCACCCACCCTGGGACCCCTGCTCCTGTCTGAGAGATAAGATGCTGGTGGGCATCACCTGTGAACTCTGTTGGCTCCGAGGGTTGGT